CGCCCCACCCCCCCACCATTTCCAGGGAGGAACGCATGCCCTGGTGCCCACTTCCCCGGGCCGGGCCCCAGGCCTGTCACACTTCCTGTGTGAGGAAGGCCTGCAGCTGCCAGGCACTGTGGTGCCCCCGAGGCTTTTGAAGTTAAAGCACAAGAGACACCTGCGAGCCACACAAGCACTCTGAGCTCCTCTACAAAGCAACCCTCGCGACAGCCCAGGGCAGTCAGGGTGGCTCCCCCTTCGGCCACTGTCTTCTCTGAGTCTGGCTGGGAGGTCGGGACTGCTGCCTGAGGGATCCTCAGGAAGGGAGAGGAGGGCCGCCGTGTGTAAGACCAGGACATTGGAGTCTTGGCAGCCCCACAACTCCAGAGTGAAGAGCCATAGGTCAGGGCCCCTCCCGGACCTTCTGCCCTGACCCTCCACTTCCCTCCTCTCCCCCATTTGGCTGAAAATGGAAATGCAGAAGGCCTGCATGCTCCCCCTGAAGTGTGAACGCACTTGGGCTCCCCTCCACTGTGTTCTTCAGGAAGTCTTCTCCTGGGGTCTCTGCACACAGATGCAGGCTGTGCGTGCTACTGCCCACCAGGGGAGCCCCAGTGTGTGGACAAGTGTTGCTGATGCAGTAACGGGGTGCGCAAACCCCGTGCTCGCAGCACTCAAGTCAGCAGTCCTGAGTCATAGTTGATGAGTTGAAGCCGAGAAGCCCAGAGGAACCTGGCCATGGCTGGGATTTCTCAAACGACAGGCACCCTACGAATGCAGCCCTGGTCTGGCAGGCCCAGGAGGCCCCCTAGCGCTGCTCAGGTGCCCCCTCCCTCCTGGCACATGTAGAAAGGGCCTCATGAGCTGACAGGTTTCATTTACAAAGATGAGTATTTATTTTCCTGTCCTCAACTTTTACTAGGAAACTAGAATCCCACCTACTCATGTAGAATGCTGTTAAACTTTTCCTTTTCCTCTGAGATCGATGTCCTAGGAAGGCGGTCTCTCCTTCAGCCTTGCTGTAATCCTGGAGGTGGCTTTCAGCACAGGCCCAGTCGCCCTGCTGCATCCCGGGGTGGTGGCTTCCTGTGCCAGCAAACCCTGGGCCTTTTAGGGAACTTGGGGGGACCTCGTGAGCTCCAGCTTACTAAGCCCTGCTGCCAGAATCAGCCTTTGTCTGCAGGAGCGAGAGAGCAGCGCCAACTGGGGCCAAAAATTTGATAAATGTTATCAGGGAAGAGGGCCGCTGGTGCCCACCCATGGGGAGCTGGGCTTCCTGCCTTGGCACCAAGAATTCTCGTGAAACAAGCTCGCTCAGAGGCAGCCATGTGTGCAAGAAGAATATTAAAAATTTACTATTTGCCGGTTGCTGTACTTTCATATCTTGAAATTCTCAGACCCTAGAGAACAGCAGGGTATGTTCGCAAATGTTTCCTTTTGGTTTTGGTTTTCCAGTAGGTGCCTGGAGCACAGTTGAGCTCACTGGTGCATGTGAGAGCACAGGACCCCCCCCTGGAGCTCGTTACGGTTCAGGCTTGCCTGCTCTGTCATCAGGGCCCAGGCCTTCCCTTCACAGGGCTTTGGGACAGTCCCGGGCATCCGGCCGACGGGACCGTGTGCAGGGGGCCCACCTCCTGAGCCCGGCGGGCTCCCGGTGCTGCCTTTCCTGAGTGACTTGCACCCCTGTCCTGAGCGAATGTGTGCAGACATCTCCCACAGCATGCTTTCCCCCAGATGCTCTGCCCCCAGGCCTCGGTGCCAGTGATCCCTGGGAGCCACACTCCACTGCCGGGGTACAAGCTGCGTGGCCCCTGGGCACCACCTCACTCGTCCCCACGCCTTAGCTCAGTGGAGCCTTTGGTCCCTTAGCCTTTGACTCCGAGAACGCAGGGAGCCGCCCAGCAGGACAGCCTGGTGGTGGAGATTACTGTGCACTGTTAACAGGCGATCTCTTCTCTCCATGCCAGGTTCCAGGTGTGTGACGGTGGCTGCAATCTGTCTTGTGGGTATTAATGCAATCTTCAGTGGTGGCTACTGTTCTCAAGCTGTTCTACAAAACGAGCATGCTGGTGAGTTTCCAAGTCAGGGCTGTAAAGGCCCCTCTGGAGAAGCAGCGTATCCTGGGCAGGGCACAACAGAACAGACCAGTGTGGGTGCGGTCAGGACCATCACACCAGCGTTGCCTGGGAGGGAACCCCAGGCCTCAGGGTGCGGCCCAGCAGACTGGGTGTTGCCACCTTCCCAGGTGATTCGGCGAGTGTCTGAGAGGGAGACGTGCTGGCATGGCGTGCCCAGGGTCAGGGGTCTGCGCTCATTAGCTCTTGCCGGGGCCTGGAACGGCGTCCCAGGAGAGCAACGGAGAGTTTTGCAAACTTTCAGAGCATATCGCCCAGTTCCTGGGCCCTCACCGCAGCCATCCTAGGCGATGATACAGTTCCTTGTCAATGACTCAGGGACATTCTCATGGCTTCTTTGGAAGTAGGGTGATTGCTCTTGGGCATGACTGACATACACAGGGTTCTCTGGATTCCTCCAGACTGCTGGGCTTTCCTAGCAGGTGGTGATTTTGATTTGTTGGTCTTTTCAGACAATACCAGCTGTTACATCTTAGTTCATCTGCGCTAGCAGTAAGTGTATGCATAAAGCAGTGACACGGCATTCCCAGAGGGGACCTGCCCACTGGCCAGTCACCACATGTAGGCTCGCAGGCTCTCTGTCTCTTTGGAAGGCTTAGCCTAGCACTGCAGGGATACCAGAGGCAGGCTGACACAGCTGTGTCTTGGCCCGAATAAAGTGGCAAATTTCAGCCCCACAAAGGGCCTGTAAAGAAGAGATGCATCAGAAAGAGGGCAAGATTCCTGCCAAGGACAGAACCAGGCAGTCCTCGCCAAGGAGGCCATTTCCATATTTTTAGGCTTAGGTAATCTTGTGCTCAGAATAGCAGCTTCCAGGGCCTGTCCAGAGGTGCAGGCAGCGGGGGTGCTTCCAGGGCCCGTCCAGAGGTGCAGGCAGCTGGGGTGTGTGGCTGGGGTGTGCCAGGTGTCGGAGGCCTTCCCTCCACCTCCCCAGCAGGAAGCTAGCAAACTGCACTTGGGTGTTTTTTCCCCACTGACATCTGCTTCTCACACTAACCAAACTTACCGACAGGTAGACGTTTTTCCACATCACATGGGGAACCCAGCAGTTCCATGGACTTCTACTTTATTAGATTTTCCTTCAGTCACAGTATTTACTAGCAGTGCCCATCGTTCTCTATCACTCAGGAGAACTTTTTTTTAAAGGACAGGATTGTGTTTTTTCCCCTTTCTCTGGGGAAGTTTCAAAAGCCAGTTAAAAGCCACTCATACAATTTTTTGGAGCAGGTTAGAATGACTTTTTGAGAGGCAGTAAATCAACTCAGAGTCAGTGCTTCTAGGGGTGTGCAGATGATTCTGGTCAGGAAGTGCAGTGGCAGCTGGAGCGTGTGCTGACTTCATGTAGACAGCAGAGGGGCCCGGTGAGTGGGCAGCCCAGGTGTGCCCGAGGTGGACGGCCAGCCAGCATGGCCGAATGGGGAGAAGGGGGGTCTTCATGACTAGCTGCCAGTTCTGAGGTCACCGGCGTGTCACAGGGAGGAGTGTGAAGGGTCATTTCCTCTTCCCAGATCTGAAGTCAGGTGACACTGCCTACAGCCTGGACTGTGAGGGGGGATCCCAGGGCTGGGCCACCACTGGCCAAGGATGGGACTAGAACCCACAGAGGAAATGGCCTGATGGGGGCTTGTCACTGTGCATGGGGGGTTGTCTGTGGGGCCTCATGGCCCTATCTTTAACTCTGTGAAATGGTAACCTCCAGTCTGTTCCGTTTTGTTCATTTGTTTTTTAGATTCTGCGTGTGAATGAAATCATATGGTATTCCTCTTTCTTTGTCAAACTCATTTCACTTAGCATAATACCTTCTGGGTCCATTCATGTTGTCACAAATGACAAGTTTCAGCCTTTTTTTATGGCTAATATATGTATGTATATATACATCTTTTTTATCTATTCATTAATGGACATTTAGGTTGTTTCCCTATTTTAGCTATTGTAAATAATGGTGTGGTAAACAGAATTCATGTATCTTTTCAAATTAGCGTTGTTTTCTTCGGGTAAATTCTCAGAAGTGGAATTGTTGGGCGGCAGGGTGTTTGAGAAACTTCCACACTGCTTTCCGTAGTGGCTGCACCAATTGACAATCCCACCAGCTGTGTTCCACAGGCTCCCTTTTCTCGCCAAACTCGCTATTGTCTTGTTGATACTGGCCGTTCTGACAGGTGTGAGGTGATTATCTGTGGCTTTGGTTTGCACTTCCCTGATGAGCGATGTAGAGCATCTCTTCATGTGCTCCATTGGCACTCTGTTTTATGTTTGGAAAGATGTCTTTTCAGGTCCTCTGCCTGATTATTATTTTAATCAGACTGTTATTTTGGTGTTTTATATGAGGTCTTGATGTGTTGTAGATATTAGCCCTTAGCAGACATATTTGTAATATATTCTCCCCTTCAGTAGGTTGCCTTGCTGTTTGGCTGCTTTCCTTTGTTGTGTTTTTACTTTGATAGAGTCCCACTTATTTCTTTTGTTTCTCTTGCCTGGGGAGACATATCCAGAAAAAAATTACCAATGCTTATATTCAAGAGTTTGTTTTCTTCTAAGTTTTATGGTTTCATGTCTCATATTAGGTCTTTAATCCATTTTGAGGCTTTGTATATGGTATAAAAGACAGTGATCTAATTTCATTCTTTTACATGTAGCTGTCCAGTTTTCTCAATACCATTTACTGAAAAGACTGTCTTCCCCACTGTCTGTTCTTGGGCCAGTCCCACACTGTTTTCATGACTGTGGCTTTGTGACTGGTGAGCATGATACCCCCCAGCTTATTTCCTTCTCAATTGCTCAGGCTGTTAGGGGTTTTGGTGATGATGGACCTTTCTAAATGGTAAGTAGTGTTTTTATTATAAATTACTATCAGTATTTTTAAAAAAATCAAGCTGACATGTATAAAATGAAACCATGTTTATTGAGAGTGAACAGAGGGAAACAGAAATTCTTGGGAAAGAAGTCATAGTGAACAGGTAGCAAAATGGGGCACCCTCCAAGCACCTGGAACCCCCCACCCAGCCATCCCTGAGTTCTCAGACTTCCTCTTGGGATCTTCATTTCACTTGTCCTTGATCGAAAACATCAGTTTGGAGCACTATCTTTCTCCCTTGTCCATCCTGTCACAGGCATGCTGTAGTGACCCCCCACCCCACTCTCTCAGGGATTCTGACTTGAGTCTGCTCTCTAAACAGCCTCTAACCCTCCATGGTGTTCCCGGATGTCTCTGCCTTCTACTTAAAATGTCCTTGTTCATACATTCCAGGGTTTGAACTCTGTTCCTAGCTAAACCCCTTCCTTGTTTACAGGGACTGAAATAGCCACACTCTGACCTTCTGTTCATACTGGGAATATCTATGGCAGTGTGGACGCATTCTTTTCCCATGTGACAGTTACATTTACACAGCACAGTTATGGAAAAGCCCAGGAAACTGTCAGCTCATGTCCCTTCCTCCTGTGCATATTCTTTTTCACTTCAAAGGATCAGCCAAAATTAACCAGACCTGTACACCTTGTGTCCTACTCAGGGCCCAAGAAGGAGGCGACAGAATACAGAGAGGTCAGGATGACTTGCTTACTGCAGGAGAAACCCCTGCCTATGCCCCCTGCTATCAGCTTCCTGTAAAAGGCCAAAGCTGCCCTGTGGGGGTGGGTGAGCCTAACCTGGGTCCCAGGGCATCAACAAGACTAGGGCCCCTCCTTCTCAAGGGTCTGACTTATTGCCACATCCAGGTGACTAGCTCTGGATCACGGGCAGGAGCCGGGCAAATGCAAGGCGGTGAGGGCTAGTGCCACACACTTGCCTGAAGGTGGTGCTGAGTTCTTCAGAGAAGCTTGAGGCAGCAGCCGGCCTGGCCCCTGCCGTACAGAGGCTGGGGGCACTGGGGCATCACCCTGCTGCAGTGATGCTCACCTGCGGCTGACAGTCCTTTGCCTGCTCTGTCTGTCCCTTCTCTTGGTCACTGAACACAGCCTGACAGCTCCGGTCTCAGGCCCAGTCCAGTGGCTCTCTCTGACCGAGCTCTGTGGGGGGCCAGGCAATGCAGGCCTTGGGTCCCAGGGTCTGTGAATTGTTCCAAGCTAGGAACAGCTGAAGGGGGACCATCTCAGAAATGGTTTCCTGGAGCTTAGCCTCCTGGCACAGACAGAGTCAAGTGTGGGATAACGTGGGACTTGTCACTCCAGGCCTGGCAGCTGGGAGACAGAATCTGGGTGTCTGTGCAGCTCCTCTAAGGTGTTAGGGAGGCTCGTTGGGCGCAATCAACTGCTACAGCAGCACCAGGGGAGTGGAGGAGTCAAAGTGAGATTACCTGAAGGAGTCCTGAAGGAGTTGGCTGCTTCTGTCCTCAGTCCTGTTGGACTGCTGCTGAGGGAGTAAACATGGGAGTTTACTAAGGTTCTTGTGTACCTAAGCCTCACATTTCCAAATGGCTAATTTGGTCTATAAATAAGCATAATTAAATCAGTGTGCTAGGACTAATATTTGCAACAAGCTGAAGAGGTAGGTGATTCTAACATTACAGGTGAGGGTCTGGACACCCAGATCCCTTCTCAGCTCACCCTGATTTCTCCCAGGGGAACTGTCCCTGACCCAGTGGTATGTGGTAATTATAGCTGGTCTTGTGACTGTGGCCTATTATTTATACCCGCTAGTACTGTCATCTACAGACTGGGCTATGACAAGATACACTGATTCATAGCACAGATCTGGTCTGGACAGGAGTATTTATTAAGAGGCCAATTAACTATGTGCAAGAGTGTTCACCTAAATGTTTCTAATTTATAGCTTCCAAACACACAGAGATAGGCCTTTCTCTTTTAAGAAGTCTAATATATGCTGATTTAGAATAGTAAAATGAATGACAGTAACAGCAGAGGTTTACAGTGCAGCCTCTATGTAAGAAAGACAAGAGAACCCTGGCTAGGACTTTGCCAGGAGCAGTCAGAAAGTCTCTTATTGTTTTTTGGGTCTTTTATCTGCTGCAATTGAAACAAATACAAGTGCAGGGGGAGACAGTCCTAAAAAGTTTCTAGTAAGAGGTAAGTGGAAGTTACAGCCATGCAACTTCCTGTATCTAAGGTAGGACCACAGATCCTCCTGGGAATGGTCTGTATGTTACACATGTTGTTGCAGGGACTCACCCACTGGCTGCGAAGCCACGAATGCTCCTGTCCACAGGCGTCTCCAAACCCTGGCCCGGAGGAAGGAGTACACCCTCACACCTTTCCTTTCTGTTTCAGGCTCGAGAAAACCTGCCCAGTTTTGAGCCCTTCAAGACTTTGCCACAGCCTCTGTCACACATCTGTTTATCGAAGAAAACAATATAATAAAAATGTTTTACTCTTTTACACTGTATAATTATAAGAAATAGTGTGTTATTTGTGAACGCATGGTCTGACATACATTTCTGTACAGTTTGGAGATATTTTCAAACAAAACATAAAAACAGTATTTTTGTAGCAAATGTGTCAGAATGGATAATCTTACACTGGGTCGGATCACGTTTTTTGTGCTTGACTTCTGAACACTTGTAATTAAAAATATCTATTTTTTTCCTTCTACATAAGCTGCATGTTCTGAAATATCATCAGTCATATTTTGAATGTATGAAAAGCTGCTTGCCTGACCGTGTCCAAAGTTAGAATGGAGCTGTCCAC